ATAATAATAATAATAATAATAATAATAATACGTGCATTGATATAGCGTATATCCAAGTATTTACGGGCTTTTCAACCATTTTTAACCAAGCAGATCCTAGTCTAGAACACTCCGAAACATACGCAACTTCCCAGGGAGCATACAATGCAAGCTGCGGATTCCACGTGCTTAAACTGAAACACTAACAAACCGACAAGATCTTTCGCCGTCTATAGCCGGGTACCCATTCTCACTTGTGTGAAAGGAGGAAAATTCGTGTTAAGTGCCTTTCCCAAGGACATAACGTCGGGCCCCTAGTGGGATTCGAACCTACGACCTTACGGTTACGAGTTCAAAAGCCTAACCACCAGGCCACCAACGCCACCTGGAGGTGTCATCTCTGGCTCACAGGATGCCATGCCCTCACCCGCCGTTGCTTACACAGTACAACATAACCGCTGGCTGCTGTTATACACTCTGTCTTGCTTTGATTGTGCTATCGCTCCACGCTGCTCTTTGTCCGCTTTTAGGTTTAGCCCTTTTGCTCTACATTTTGCTTTCGACTTTCAGTTTTTCCTTCACCATCACCAGCAGGCGTTTCTTAATCGTATGACCAAAGTAGGCCTACATGTATTGTATTTCTTACTTTTCATTTTGTTAAAGTAGTGCTCGAGCATAGAAACAAACTGGACTATTTAGCTAGAACTAGAAGCTGGCTGTTTCGACACAGCTGATCAAATCAGAGATAACCCGTCCTGATTGATAAAAATGGTGAAATGGTATAGATTTAACGCCCGTATCAGACAATAAGGTTATTGAAGAGGTGGGACCTCCAAGTTTAATGTCCATCTCCGAAAGGACTGAGCCGAATGGGAAATTCGTGTAAACTGTCTTTTCCAAGGACCCAGGACCGGACCGAGCTGAGGCTCGAACCCCCGATCCCAGAATCTCAGGATTACGGGCCAGGCAGCCTCATTACCAGACTACCGACGTCTCTGGTCTGATTGAGATACAAGAAAACATCGTCCTAGACGACAGGCGGAAATGCTCGATAAAAAATTCCCTACACGGGAATCAAAGCATGTGCGTATGTCACATATGTGTGCATGTATGTGTGTGTGTGTGTGTGTGTGTG